TAATTAGTCGGTGCAAACCCAGGATAAGTCACAAAAGTCCTAAGGCAGGGTGCAAAATCTAGAGGAATGGGCCAGATAGTAGTTCCCGGGTTAGTATGATAGGTTATAAATACAGTTAGGATCAGAAGGTTTAGAAGGGTAACTCTCTAGTTGGGTTATAGGTATGATATCTAGTGTAGAACCTGCGGGTGGACTACTTAAATAGACACCCAAAAGGTGTATGTGTGGCTAGTTGTATCTTCATTGTAATTGTAATAACTAATAATTACTAATAAAAAGTCCCCAGGCCAAGGAGGTCACCTTAATACCGAAAAAAAAAAATAAAATAAATTTTATGCATGCTTAATGTTAATGGAATTCGTTTAACTCATAATATGCAGGGTTTGTTGATTCAGAGCATGTGGAGTATCTATGCAAGGTTTGATCTAGGGATATGTTCCTGCTTATCTGAACTCTGTTCACCCGTTTGAAACCTGAACCAGTTAAACATGAATTTTTTAAATACATAAATTTAATTATTTAAAGTAAAACTTAGTGTGTTTGAATCGAGTTTAAAATCGATTTTACGAACATAAAACTTCGTGATCTGGTAATTTTTTTCTTTTTAGTCTTTGTCTAAAGACATGGATTGATTTGGTTATTTTATGCGCAGATTATGCCTATATAATTATACAAAATTATCTAATATGCTATCGTATATGCTATGCGATAAACACTAGGTTTATGCATATAATACACTATTGCAAATAGCAGACTATACTATGCATTTTTCTTATAAAATTAGTAAAAAAAAATTTTATAATCACGTTATTTTTTTTTTATTATAAAATGTGACTATATAGAGAATTTTCTATATTAGTTACATCTCTATATAATTACTAATTTTTGTTTTTCAAGGATGTGACTATATGAAGGTTTGACTATACATATTTCAAAGTTTATAGTTTTAGAATCTGTGAGGATTTCCGAAGATTTATAAAGCAGTTTTTTTTTTATTTTCACTTAAATTATATATACATTTATATATAGATAGCGAATTCATAAACAGAAGCCAAAAAGTTACCTTGTTTGTTTAAATTTCTCATTGGAAATTATCCGAGAAGTGAGTTAGCAAAATGTGAAGTACTTGAAAATCAAAAGTGGTGGTATGCTGATGCTTCCATGGTAGTAAATAAAGCCAAGGCTTTGGTTAAATATCTTTCAAAATTGTTTTTGTTCCTCTAATTCTTTGACTAATTACTTCATATATTAAAAATATTATAATAATATAATTGTTAAAAATTTTGTTCTTGAGCAATTAGAGAAAGTTGGTAATTCTGTTTTTTTTATTCCAATAAAAAAAAAATCAAATTGTCTAATAATAAACTGAATTTTTGTAATTTTGAAATTCAAGTATTATTACAGAATCCCAAATATGAAAGTCTTATAAAAAAATTTAATGAATTAGAACATTTAAATAAACAATTATTATGCAAAAATGAAATATTAAAGAAACAATTGAATAATAAATATGATAATCAACAAGTGCATGTTGAAACTTCTATAGAAATTGCCAAACGAGAACAAAATACCTTATATGATGATGTTATTAAATTAATAAATAATCATAAGCAATTTTATTTAGATAGTCTCTTAAATTATTCCTCATCTTAATAGCTTATAATGCGTAATCCAGTTGTAGTAGAATTTATAAAAACTCTTATATGTAATGAAAATGAAGACTATTACAAAGGAGAAAAGCTTTTTAAATATGCTGTAGTAATCGATAATATATATAGAATAAGACATTTGAAATATGTATCTTCAATCAATTTAGCATTATTGACAATAAAATACTCTATAGCAAAATCTAAAACAATAATTGATATCAATAGACATATTATAAATACTGGTGGGCTTACTAAATTTATTAAGTGGCAAGAAACTTTAGCAAGTAATTTTGAACCATTTCCAAATAGTTTAGTATTTATGACATTTGACAACAAACAAAAAGGCCAAAAAAATTACTTGGATCATGGATATAATAAAGTAATCTTTCATATAGTTACTAGTTTTGTTTTATTTAATTTTAATCCTACTAACCAAATACAAAATTTTAAAAATCCTTGGCTATATCAAAATCTTAATATGCTGCAAATCGAGAAATTATTTGGCCTTACTTAGAAATGCAAGTAATACTTGATTATCAGCTTCATGATTATCTTTCATTTATTTTAACTGAATTATACAAAGAAAAAAAAGAAGATATAAATATTATTAACGATTTAGTAATTAATTAAAGTGCTAAAACAAGCAATCAAAAACAATGTCATGAATATAGTAAAACCAAAATTGAAAATTCAAAGTATAAATGTCCTCAATATTATGCAAAACTTCCTATACTCACTAAAACTCAACAAGAAAAAAAACAAACTATATCTGATAAGAAAGACAAGAAAGATTCAAATAAATCATTAATCTTTTGACCTTATCAACCCAATGCAAATATATCAGATAAACCCACAAGTTTAATAAGTATATCTCAAAATTTAGAATCTCAAGGCAGTATTAAAATATCTGATATTCTTGTTCTCGATCCTTTGCCAATCAATCCAAATTCAGTTGATAATATTTACAAGGTTTTTGACCATATTCAAAATATTAGTGAAATTAATAGTGGTAATTAAAAATGGATCATAGTAGTTTGTGATGGACTTTCATATTACTATATGCAGAAATTTAAAAATGAATACCCGAGTATCATTTTGATGCCTAGGCTACTTCACGAAGAAATGAATATGTTAAAAACCTTTGTGGAATTAAATTGGTAATAATATTTAAACTATATTCAATTACCAAAATAATGAATATCCTATATCCAAAAAAATTTAAAAAAAAAAAACTATATTAGTATAATGAAATTTTACTATCCAACTTAATAATTTAATTATTAAATCACTAACCTATATAATAGATTTTATATAATATATTAGTTAACGACAAATATTTATACCAGCTCACATTGTTCATTATAATTAACTATAATTTTAAATATACCTGTAAAATTAATAATTTTTATTATATTATAAATATAGGGACATTGACTTATGAGATTTTGCACAATGCCAAGGATATAGAACTGAAAGTCATTTTAAAAAATGTATAGATTACCATAAAGCATGGGCTTCAGTATGTAATATTTACCAGCATGCAATGGCAATAGAGTTGGTTTGGCCATATATTGTTTTAGCTTCTAATCCGTTTGTTAACAGTTTTCTTGATTGGGCTAAAAATCAAAAAAATGAACTATACAAATTAAAATATGAACAGATATTTAGTAATTTTATTTAAATTATTTAAACTTCAATTATTAATATTTAAATTATATTTAGATCTTTTGGTACTTACAAGCAATTATAAACTTTCACACTGGTGTTAGATATAATCAACCTTTACTTAAATCAGCTACACGTAGAATATTTGCTCCTATCTGGTCTGCATGGCAGTATCCTATTTACCAAGCAATTGAAATAGCTGATGAATACATCTCCATCCTAAAATTCATCAAATTATCAAATATAATTCTGTTATAGCATGGTCAGGATGGTCTAATCAGCATCAAGGATTAGATGCTATACTTGAAGAGGTAAATAAAACATTAAAAACACTAATTTCACCTATACTAGCTCAAAAGTATTGAGAAATAGCTACAAGAAATTGTACAAAATTTATAAAGGTAAGAATAAATATAAGAATAAAATAAAAATATCATTATTTAAACTTAAGATTTCTCTCCCTGATAAATATTATCTTGGTAGCTACGAAAAAAATTATTTGCTACAATAGGATATGCAGATTTTGAAAGTTCAGGTCCACGAAGCTGTTCAGACTATGAAGAAGAATTGCAGAGGTTTCAAATTTGGTTAAAAAAAACTAGTTTCTTAAATCCAGATCTAAATCTAAATTGTAGCTTTGAAGGTTTAGACAGAAATAATAAGTTAAGTGTACAAATGAAGTTATTCAGTGATAAAACCAAAGCTCAACATATAAATTATATCAAGGGTAAATTTGGCTTAATTAAATATGAGCCTACTTATTCTATTCCTGTTACTTTTGATGAAGCACAATTACAATCATCTAAGAGTTTATTGAAAAAAGAAGAAATAGTATTCGCAATCAAAATATTAATTGAATCCTTAAATGAAGCTAAATAACTACAATTTAGAGAGCTAAGAACAAAAAGAAAAAATGAATTATTAATAATTTTGCAACAAGTTCGAGATCTTCATAATGCAACTGATGCTGGTAAAACTAAAGAGATGATATAAAAAAGTAGCTAAAATATTCTAAAAATATAAAAAAAGATGAATTATTTAAGTATTCATATATAAATAAGTATTTCAAGCTTAAAATAATTAAATAAAGCAAAAAAAAAAAAATTGTACAAAATACTTAGAATTATTGTATGCATGAAAGTTATATATTATAGGAAACCTTGACTATTCACAAATCACGTAAGCTTTATATTTCTAAGAAAAAATGAACTTGGAAGTGTTGTTTGCTAATTTAACAAATACGAAAGACAATAATCAAATAAAATTAGTTTAAAATATATTAATTTTAGTAACAAATTAGATAATTGTTTTAAAAAACAACTTCTGAACTTTCAAATAAAGAAACTATTATGTATTTACAAAATGCCAAAATTCTTATTTGATGTTATAATAGTCAATATTTCTAAAAGTATATAATGTAGATTTGCATAGCACCAGCTTCTTGATCCAGCTTATAAAAAACTCTATACTTATGAGTGTACTCAGCATTTTTAACAAGTACTTTTTGCTGTCTGATCTATTTTATATATGGAAACTTGGTAACCAATCAAATTAAGTTTCACGAATAAATTCTAGAAAATCACTATAAGTTTTGCAATATAGATTATATATATATTTAGAAATGCCAATTTTGAAAAAACACTAGACTGTATTAGACTATGTAAATTCTCTGGTCATTGGATACATGAACCTAAATGTATCTATGAAGCAGACCCTTTCTAGCCATTTATATATCTTAGATATCTTGTGTTTGCTTGTATCTTGAATTAAAAATTTATCTAATTTTAAATTGACTATACTGTTGAAGTCTCTTATTACTACTATATATGCATATTTACTTCTTTTAATATATATATCCATCACTAATCTGTAGATTTTTGCTTTTTCCTCTTTCTCATTTGGAGGCAAATATACTACTATAATAATAATCTCTATATTCTTAAAATAGAATTTGGCTACTAATATATATTTCTTATCAGTTTTTATACTATCTAGATATTTTTTCCAATTGCTTCGAATATCTACTCCTGATCCTTTCTTTTTGTCCTTTGCTGCTTTTGACCAAAGAAATCTATAGTTGCTTCAATTTTTACTTAAAAAAAAACTCTTTTTTTCTCTAATATTGGTTTCTATTAATCCAATTATACCTATATTCTTCTCCTCTATCTAGTGCTTGGCAAAATCAAACAAAAACTCGATTATCGAGTTTTTGAATCTATCAGTTTACAATATTGTGCATTAAATACAAATTT